ATGGGGAGCGCATTCCATAACTTAGGCGCCACCGCTGAGAAAGCCCTCTTCCGAGTAACCACGCTCCTAATTTCCTTCACTGAGGGCTCCCGGAGGAGGGCCTCTCCCACTGATCTCAGGGGGCAGCTGGGCATATATGGACGTAAGCGCTCCTTCAGGTAACCAGGACCCAAGCCGTTTAGGGCTTTATAGGTCATCACCAACACCTTGAATTGGGCCCGGACTTCAATGGGGAGCCATTGGCTTGAGTTGGACTTGGGGACTTGAGTTGAGTGTCTCACTCCCAACACTGGTTTCCTGCCTTTTGTGCTATTTGCTTTCACAATGCTAAATGGTTACCTGCCTCTCTTAAGACGTTGTTGTTGTTTAGCAAAGTCATGTCCAACCCATCACTACCCAATGGACAACATTCCTCCAGGCCTTCCTGTCTGGCCCTAACCATCCCCCGAAGTCCACCCAAGCCCACACCCACTGCTCCAGTGACTCCATCTAGCCACCTCATTCTCTGTCATCCCCTTCTTCTTTTGCTGTCAATTGTTCCCAGGATTAGACTCTTCTCCAGGGAGTCCTTCCTTCTCATTAGGTGGCCAAAGTATTTGAGTTTCATCTTCAGTATCTGGCCTTCTAAAGAGCAGTCAGGGTTGATCTCCTCTAGGACTGACTGGTTTGATCACCTTGTGGTCCAAGGGACTCGCAGGAGTCTCCTCCAGCACCACAATTCAAAGGCCTCAATTCTTCAGCTCATTGCCAGAGAGAGTGCAGCTGATTGATATATTGATTTTTAATTATCTGAATTCAGAGAAATGAAGTGAAGCTGCCTGACTTGGATCTATCTATTGAGCAAAACTTGACAATTTTGGACTACTCCATGGACTGAACAATTTAGGCTTAAAGACTTCCTCCTCATCAGATGTCTGAACCATTGGTCAGAAGATAAACTCTTGCTCTCAGACATATACTAAGAGGCTATGACCGGCAAAAGTCTGTGCATTCTATAGAAAGCTCAAATGCAATATCCTGACCATTCGGAACACCAGTAATCCTAAGCGCCATCTTTCGAGCGTGGCTAGATGAAATCTATACCTGTCATGGGAGATAAAACCATGAAAACGAATCGGATCAAACTTACTGAAGAATTCTGCCTGGAACCTCCCTGGTCCGTCCCCTTGTTAAGATCTTCCGGGCAGCAGCAGCTGAGTTCCCTGGCGGTGACTCGGCAAGCAGAGGGAGCGATCCTAGCCCCCCGCCCCCGCTGCACCCCAGGAAAAGGGTCTAAGGTGGAGGTGCGTCTATGCCGCTTGGGCACGCAGCTGGCCGACTGTTCCTGCTCTGCAGCCCGCTCTCAGTATCGCACGAAACGAAACTTAGAGCGGCTTTGCCTGCCTGGTCAGGAGCCCCAGTCAAGGGGGAATCTCAGGAGCCCCAGTCAAGGGGGATCTCGATGGCCACAAACCGAGGCTTTTCAAATGGCCCGCGAAGGGGCCAGGCGCTTTCCCGCAGTAGCCCCGGGTGTTGCAGAGGAGAGGGGAGTTGCTTGCCTCGGACTCGCCGTCGCCTGCCCCAGTGTAAAGAGCCTCGATGTTTAGCCGCCTAATTGCAAACTTTGCACCCAGCTGAGCACAGACTCCTCTTTCAACTGGAAGAGTTGTGAGCTATTCCGACAGCACCTCAGAATAGTTCACTACAGTAACACTAGCCCTGACCCAACTATGTTCGTCTGAAGAGTGCAAAAACGGTGTGGGAGCAGGTATTTTTAAAATTTATATTAGCAGCAGGCTTCCTACTATGTGAAGAAGTGGTGACACTAATAAGCCTGGTTTGCAAACAGGTTCTGGGCTAGTCAATTTCACTCTTGAGGGCTAACCTTGTGGCAGGAAGAAAAGCCTTTTTCCTCCTGCAAAGTAATTTTTAAAAATCCAAATCCAACCATTCTGGAGGCTACACAGAGTCCTCTTTGCACGTGCAGACTGAAAAAAGAAGCTCTAGCATTCCCACCATTCCTCAACCAGCAATGCTGACTGGGACCTGCTGGGAGTTGTAGGCTTTTTCTGGCTAAATAAATTACTATTCTGTTCCTTCTTACTACATCAATTCTAAACTAAAAAGTCCCTGATACTTCAACCTTTCTTCATAGGATAATTCTCACCATATTATTTATTTATTTAGAATTTTTGTATGCTGTCCCATTCGCATGAGCCTCGGGATGGCTTACATATTATATAACAATGTATAGGAAGGGATACAGGAATCTGGAATTATACATTATTTTATATTTTAAACAGTTTTTAAACTATGTTTTTTACATTTTCATACTTTAATCCCAGATTACAGTGCAGCTGGATCATGGCTTGCACTTGCCAGGTATCACCCACAAACCTGGCCTCCTCATCATTCAGGCAGATACCAGATCATTTCAGATAATTTATAATCAAGTTACAAAGCACTGGTTCCAATACAAATTTTGGAGTTTTTGTGTGTGGGGGGAACATTACTATTATCATTGCACATATATGTCCTCAACATTTTATTCTCCCAGAATAACCCTGTGAGGTAGATGAGGCTAGGCTGGGCCTGGTGCAAGCAGGGACTAGAACTTGGCTTTTTAATCACTGCTGTACACATATTTTTTTCTCATGCAGGCCTCTAGTGTGAGAACAGCCTACTTCTACTTTATGCTTCCTATCCTTTGATCAGTTATAAATTCATTACAAGAAATGCTATTAGGGGTGAGTTGTCATCATCATTAGCCATAACAGATGTCAGTGAGAAGAAACATCCGCATGAGGAGTTCTGCTACTCATTTTGTAAACTGTCCAGAGATGTCTGACTATCACGCAGTACGGAAATGAAATATTTAAGGATTATAGGCAGGGTTCTTTAAGTAGGAGGCAAGCAGCAGGTCACCGCCAAAAACCTACACAGCAGTCGAGAGAACGACTCATTGTCTTTAGGTCATCTCCTCGTCTCTGTAGAAAATCCATTTTTAAATGCCCTGAATTAGAAAATGCATGAACTCTGCTCTTAATTTTTTGTATTGCAGAGTGAGATCTGTTGCCTATTCAGAACTACGCCAATCCCCACTGCTTTTAATAGGCTGCTCTCGCTTCCACCCACTTGCGAAAGGAAAAGAATCGAAATAGAAACCAGAAACTCGTCGGTTCCACGCGCCCCCTCCCTTTTCCTCACCCACCACCCCCTCACGCGTCCTCCAGAGGGAGCAGGCGAGCTTGGACTACAGCTCCCGCCATGCCTCGCGGAGCAGCCTCCCGCTCTGGCGGGGGCGCGCGCGGCCTGCTGGGAGGGAGCGGGCCGGCGCCAATGCTCGCTCGCTCGCTCGCTCGCGCGGCGGCGGAGCGGGCGCCCTTTGCGGCTGCTTCCCCATTCATTGCCCTCGCCTTGCTCTCCGCGCTGCCTCCCGTCAGGGCGCCGCCGCCGCCGTCATCATGGAGGCGCTGATCCCGGTCATCAACAAGCTGCAGGACGTCTTCAACACGGTGGGCGCCGACGTGATCCAGCTGCCGCAGATCGTGGTGGTCGGGACGCAGGTGAGGCGGGTGGGCCGGCGGGCGGGCGTGGCCCGGGCCAGGGTGACCTCCGCCGGGGGCGCCGTGCGTTCGCCGCCGCGGGGGCGCGACTCGCAGGAGGCGCTCTCGGTGGCCCTACGCGGGAGGACGGCGGCTTAAGGCTGCCAGCGGGCGTTGGGGTCGAGGGCTCTTTTTTCCCTTTGCGTTGCTCTGGTGTGACGGATGCTTAAACATTTTCTTGCAACTATTAGTAGTAGTAGTAGTAGATGAGTGTGCCAAGGACTTGGCAATCTTCGTGTGGCTTTCTGCTCACAGCCGGCCCTGTTGGAGAACTGCGGCCGAGACCTTGTGGCTCCCAGATCCTTACCCGACTTTGCAGTGTGCTAATCCAATAGCAAGCTTTTTCTTTTTAAGGAGTGATATGTGAATCTTGAAGGCGGGCCATTTTATAGGAGTTTAATTTTTTGTGGTGCCACAATAAATCTGCTTCTGGGATTGCCACAGGACTAATTTTTCTCGTTTTCGTTTTGCATGTGCTGTAGTAGACTTAACCATTCCTTTAGGGTTAGTCAAATTAGAGAAGGCTTTAAAAACAGGCAGAGGCGCTAAACTGAAGCTGGAGGGCATGGCTCTGGCCACCGTGCCTTGGCGGCTCGCTGGCTGTTGGAAAAGGAAGCTGGATTTAGAGCTTGGTCTGAGCCGCTCCGAGGTGGAATATCATGCAAAGTCCTTCTGGCTTGGGAGCCTGTCTGGCCTTGTGCATGCTAATGACTGGTGATGTGTGAGAAATTTTGGCTTCACAGAACCCTAAATATTGGCTTCCCAGGCTATCCCTTTTACAAATGGGGAACATAAGCTGAAGGAGTGTAGTGCTACTTGCTGCATCCAAGTTCTGTTGTGGCACATGTGTTATGAGTTGGGGTGGGTGTGAAAAATTAAAAGGGAGGATAGCAAGGCGGAGGGGTTGAAGGATGTGAAAAATCATTCAGAGAACAGTTTGGAGGCATGTGATACAGTTTTACTGCTGGAAAGAGTCCTGTCTTGTCAGTTGCCTTGGCTGGTTGATAAATAGAAAAGCCTTCAGGGTAAGCTATGCTTTGTTCGTGGAGGATGGGTGTGGTGTCTAAATTGTGATGAAGGAATGATGGCGAAAATCTGAAAACTATGAATGAGTGAGGGATTGAGTCTAGGGCAGCGGTCCCCAACCTTTTTGGCACTAGGGAAGACATTTGGGGAAGTTTTGAGGAAGACAATTTTTCCATGGACTGGAGGTTTTGGGATGATCCAAGCATGTTACATTTATTGTGCATTTCATTTCTATTATTATATTGTAATATATAATGAAATAATTATACAACTCACCATAGTGGGAGCCCTGAGGTTGTCTTTGAACCACTGCCCTGGAAAGCGCCAGGTACCTGGCCCCTGGGCAGAGGGAAACGGGATGCTGCGTGTCTTTTGCTCATTTGACACTCCCGTGGTGTGGGGAGCGCTGTGCAGCTGCCATCTTGGCTGGCTCCCATGTGGGAGAGGACACCTCGGGGAGGTTCAGCAGTGTAGTGGTTACAGTGATGGACTGGGACTTGGGGGAACAACTTCTAGTTCTCACTTGGCCATGGAGTTCACTGACTGAGCTTGGCCCACCCACTCATTCCCAACCTAGCCTACATGCAGGGTTGTTGTGAAGCTAAAACGGAGGGGATTGTGTAAGCTCCCTGTGCCTTGCACACGGGGAAAAAATTATACAAACTTGGGCCAACCACCATTTCTCTCAACCTCCAGATAGGAATTGCAATCCAAGCTATCGTCCTGGGGAATGTAATCTACCCATTTGGAAGGCCACCAAGCTAACCTAACTTACAGGGTCATTGAGAGTAAAATGTGGTAAGTGAAAGCAGGGGTCATGGGGAAAGAAAGAGCTGTGCTGGCCACCTGCTACTCCTTGCGAGGAAAGTCAGCTTTAAGTGTCTCATCAGTTTGCCTGTATTCGGAGCTACCCCGGCCAAAGAAGGCCGCATCTATCTCACCTGGAGGTGCTGCCAGCCTTTCTGCCTTCACTTCCTATCCAGTCTGGCTCATGTGTGCCCACAAGCAAATATCTGACCAGCACCAGCTCAGCTTCTTCTGCTGTCGTATAGTGACCTAAACAAGACCTAAACGAGAAAAAAATGGATAGGCACGCCCTGCCCCCTCATTGCAATCCACCTGCTTCCATTGGTCTAAGTATGAGTCGTTCCACCTTTTTTATTGGAGTGCCTGCCCTGTGCCCGAGCCACTGTTCACACATGCTATTGGATACTGTTAGTTCAGGGACAGCTTGCATTGTCGTCTCACTGGAGAAGCAAGGTGTCTGTCAGAGGGGCTTTAGCCCATTCGAAACAGATTGGATTCGGTTGGTCACAGCACTCTTGATGTTGGTCAGAGTACTTTTGATGTCCTTCTCTTGCACCTTGGTGCAGTGGCAGCCCATGAGTGGAAGGAAGAGGGGAACTGTGGAGGTTATGCTCACCTACTGCTCACCACCTGTTGTGTGGCCTGGTTCCAGTCTGTGGCACAGGGTTGGGGACCTCTGGTCTAGGGAATAAGAGTTAGGGAAATTTATCAGATGTCTCAGGGCCATGAGGTTGAAATTATTAGGTGTGACAGAGTGTCAGGGTCTGGGGAATAGTGCACCAATAGGCTATTATTAGGGCTGTATATGTTCTTCAGCCTTTAAAAACAATCTGTGTGCACACAGTCTGGGCCCTGCTGAGAGTCTGTCACCTTCCTCAGTGAAAATGAGAGAGAGGGAGAGCGCACACACAA